TTTAGGGTTGCATAGGGTTGCATATTTATTTTAAACGCGCTTTAAAATAGATAGGTGCGATAGAAGAAGATTTTTAAGCAAGTTCGAATGAAGCACTCATCAAATGTCAGCGAAAGCCTTTCTCAATAAAACATTTAAAACTACAGCCAAATTGCGAAACCTTTTGTGGAGATTACTGTGCATAAAGGTATAATAGAAAAACTGTCACTTAATAATTTTTAAGAATGATATCCCATAATTTAATAAACGCTTTTGTGAGTGATTGTACAGTCAGCCAGAATGTCACCTCTCGTACTTCAATAAACACTCATGTTTTTTAAACTTCGATAAAATGCAAACAATACATAATTCAGGGATGCCAGAAGAATAGTTTGCTCGTTCTGTTTATGTACTCTTTATTCCAAAATTATTTACTTGGTTTTTTTTTCTCGAATCTAATAGGACATTATTTACAGTTTTCGGCTTTATATTCATATATACCCTTTCTGTGATTACCCTGTATTTTAACAGCAATAATTATGACTGAGAGCGTGCGTGCGGTCTCGAACCAGCGCCACGCACGCTGTGTCATTGTATCAACGTAACGTAAGCTGACAGAAGAGCAAAGAAGATTACGTCATAAACGTAATTTAAATACACGATCCTAAAGCCCGTGCGGTTATACCAAACGTGCCAGTACGCAGTCTCAAAGGATTATGAATGTACGGAAAGTAAAAAAAAAAAAAGTTATATTATTTAACATTCGCGACGACCTAATAATTAAAGAAGCCAATTTACTTATTAAAATATGTATCATAAAATACCTTTAAATCGATCATAAGGAACACGAGAGTTATTTAAGTATTTTCGTGACAACATTAACTGATGCCTTAATAAAAGTTTCACTGTAACAGAAGTCGTGAAACTTTATCAATAAATTTAAATTATATTGAGTCTTAAATATTTTTGATAGTTCTGTTTGAGAGTTTAAAAAAACACCTAAGGCTTAGCGTATGCTATAAATGAATCGTATGATCAGTACCCTCAGGTGCAGCATTACACGCAGGTCCCTCAGGAATGCGGCCTTACAGGAATCGGCCGATGACCGCCGGTCACACGCACACTGCTCTGTGAAACGCAACATTTATTAGTTTTACGAAGTAGTTACACTAAAACGTAATGCCGTAGGATCTCAATTAATTCACTTATCAGTGCAACGAAATAAAAAAAAATCATATGCTCGATTTTAATAGTAAAATCACAATAAATAGTGAAAATTTAATTGTAATTCTATAACCATGATATCTTCTTTAAGCGTCCTATAAATGTTACTAGTTTTATTTAATAATGTAAGCATGCATTTGATTACAGTGTCATAAAAAAAAAAAAAAAGCTTATTTCAAGACATCAGTCTCATATTGTGTTAGTATTACAAATAACTTACGAACTATATAGAAAACGCAATGGATATTTAAAAAAAATTGCGGTCTTCAGAAATTATACAATAAATAGTAGACATAACTTAACTGGACTATTCATTTCAAATTCTTTCATTAAACATATGTTTGCCACTTCATATGATTTTCAAAATGAGCACACTTTTTTAATTTTCTTTAATTTTTTTTTTATTTCGTTTTTTTCTTTTGTCTTTCTTGTCTCATATCCTAGATTGGAGATAAAGTTTAGTTTATTTACAAAATTTTCTGTGGGAAATTGTCAAAACACAACGTACTGGAAGAGTCTAACGGAGACATCACTTGTAATTCTATACGCGCTTTTGTTTACACGGTCCAAGTAATTTAGGTCTGGCTTTATATACATAGGCTAGTGTGTTGTTTGTGAACAATGACACGCAGGAAATTGCGACGGTGATTAAAGTATCAAATTCGTTAAAAATGTGTTATTATTTGGTTTTATTTGGTCTATGATACTTTGGCATAAAAAAAAATTAAAGATGATGAAACACTATCTAATTACTCCTAAGATTACAATATACACTCATGGACAAACTTAAAGGAACCCAAAGAGTAGCAATTAAAAACAAAATATCTTGGATGTTCGTGATAGTTTAAGTAATCGTTTAACTTGGTTTTAATTTGGTTTTATATTCATTAATTTGGGAATTGCAATTGACAAAAAATTATAAAAATTTGGAATCATTTCTGCACGGAACATGAATATCGGTTTCGCCAGTTCCAATTTTCTTGACTGCGAGCAAAATTTACTTTTGGTTACTCACTAACATTTGCAATAATGGAACTTTTAGAAGACAATTGTGAATTTATTCCGGCTGATTCCAGTTCTCTTATTTTTTTCTGCTTACTATGACTCCTTTAACTTCTTGAAGCCTCGTTACTGCCTTAGAAAAAATTTAAGTTCGGTTTCTAGGCAAACTTCAGATTTAGCAAGTTTCTAAGCAAGGCTCAGATATCTGGCCACAATTTTGCATTTACGCCTTGGAAACTGTTCGGTCTTCCGATACCAGTGGACAACACGGGCTACTATGTATATAAGTTTTAGGTGTGCCCAATTTCAATTGATGTAACAGTCCTAACAACTTGAGTGGCGTTTAGGTATATTTGGCTTTTTATTTGCAGTTTCAATTCACACTTAGTGTAATAAACAAGGCGACCAAGGAAAAGATACAATATTAAAGTTTATTTATTAAATAAAAACTCAAATTCAGGTCTTTTTTTTTAATTTTCGTTAGTGCTTACTTGCAGCAACAAATGAGCAACAAATGAGCAACAAATTTTGGTTCAATAGTTGATTCGATATTTATTGATTTGTCAAAATTTTATGCTAGCTTTATATGAAGTTAGCAGTAATTGCGATTTTTCGCGAACGGCTCAAGCAACAAAATCGCGGTTTTAGCAACTAAATAGCAACAAAAAAGCTACAAATTTTGCATAATTTCATATTGAATTTTGCTGATTTGACGCTGCTACCTTGATAGATCTCAAATTGAAAATTGGAGAAAATACGCTGTGTGAATGAGTGCTATATATAGTTAATAAACAAAAACGAAATTCAACATTCCAAAACTTTCTTTTTTTAATTGGATTTACTACTTTTTGTAGCCACAATATAGTTAGTACACACGATAATTACAACAAGAGAAACTATACGTTTTTTTTTAAATAATAATATCTTTAAATCAGTCAAAGCGTAGTGTCATAATTTTATTACAACAACTCTAAAGCAGCTTCTAATAAATGAGTCGACTATTATCAAAGCCGGCAATGTGACTTTTGGACAATTATTGGTAAATCATAAAAACGAATTATTGACTTTGTATTCCATTGGCAGTCACAAAACTGTTCTGAACGACATCTTAGATAAATAACTTAGATAAATAAAATAACAGGTTAAGTATTAACCTTTATTTAATGCAGGTTTTGAACCGTATTCTTTGAAAGAGACGATTATATTCGAATCAATCTGTATTGACATATCAATAACATTTTTTTGTCCAAATGCACAGATTGCCACCTTTGATAATAGACGACTCAAATATAGAAAACAAACGATTATTATCATGGAAATTACATAATTAACACAGTTGCCAAGATGCGAAACAATAGCTTGCGATAAAAGAAACCAAAACAAAAATACTATATAGAGCATTTACGTAATAAATGTATAACAAAAAACAAACAATCGTTTTTTATTGCCAGTTTAATTTATTGCTCATTCGTAGTTCTAATGTTGTGATTATCAATGCAGCAGTAATAGTTTCCCTTGACATTTGATTGTATACAGCGATATTGTAGGTCACGAATAAACAATACCATCTTGTTTCTAACTTAATCTCAAAAGTCGTCAACTTTAGAAGTCTCTCATTTCGATTTTATGAGAAAAAATAATAGATACTAGAGGTCCCGCAGTAGTCGAAATTCGACTATAATTAATTGGAATTGTAAGTTTGTACACTATTATGATTGTATTTTATACTTCTATAATCACAAATTTCGCCAAGACTACACTATAAAAATATTAACAAAAACAAACAATATTTAATCTCAATTTGACAACAGACGTCAGGAACAAAAGTTTGACAATAAATAGTTTGCATGCGTGTGTGCGTCAAATACATGGTATGTAGTGTGTGTAATGTTTTCTTTATTGATTTAATGTATCTTTTATGCATAATTTAAAATAAATATTATCATTGTGCACTTCTTCTCTATATTCTCTATAAGTGTGGAAAATTTCATACTCCTCCGTCCGCGCAATTTTCGTAAAAGGGATACAAAGTTTTTGCTTCACGTATTAATATATAGCTAACGATTTAACAGTATTTTGTGCTATTATTCGTAATAATTAGGATATTCGGATCCATTTCCATTATCGAAATTAAACGCCAAATGGAACAACAACAGCTTAAACATAACTCTGTGATTGATTTCGTACTATAATTGGCTAAGTTAACAACTTTTGAGTATGACTGCTCTGAATTCCCACATCAATCATACGTATTCATTTTCACAACGACTATAATCATTATTTCATTCCGATATATTATTAATGCTCAGTTATAGTTCTTAATATTGAGCAGCGATTACTTAATTAAGTAAAGCACATTCTGCAGATGCTCGAAGTTATATATAGACTTGAGTTTAGTGAGGTATGTGAAAATTAAAAATTATCGTAATATGAACAGGATAAATTGGGATAATTTGGTGTGATTCTTATCAGATACTAGCCGTACTCGCCCGCTTCGCTGGGCATTTAAAATTAACATCATTATTTATTGTCATTATTATTAGGGAGTCCAATACTCATATAAATATTAGCCTATCCCTTAAGTACGTGTAATTTCTACATGGATACCAAGTTTCAAGTCAATCGGATGCATGGTTCAGTAGTTATAACGGAACCAACAAAACCACTGTAGATTTATATTTTTTTCTTCATACAAGTTCAAATGCTCCCTTAGTAAATGTCAAAACAGAGGAAATCCCAGAGGGCACATGCGCAGTAATGATCCGATCAATGCACCGCAGCGTAGTGCGCGCGCCACCCTCACCCCAACCAGCTCGCAGCCACCTACGCAGTTCGCAGTTCGTCACAAAAACATTATCCTTTAATTGTGCATCTTCGCATTGCCAAAACGAAGGCTCGATTAACGATTCTTTCGTCAATCAGTGGCTAAAAACTAACATAGAACGCGAGGCGGTATCATTGCGTTGTTACGCCTGATTCAATTCGTTAAGGACACCTACACCTTCCGTCCGCCGTCTACAGCTCTAGAGGCAGTATCGCACCAAGTTGGCTCGGTATCGCGTGACTCATTGGATTATCCCGAAGATTTCGATTATTCGATTCGTTACGATAGTGGTGTCGGAGTGTGGCCGGTGTTGTGAGGCGGTGTCTATAATTAGTGCAAGCTCGGATGCCGGTGGTCCGGCCGCGTGGTATTCATGAGGGGGCCGCGAGGTCCTGCTAAGGAGTGAGGAGGGCATCCGGCCGCAGTGATGGACGACTGCGACACCATCTTTTATGACGAGGACGTCGAAGCTCAGTGCGAAATGGTAAGTATGATGCAATCAACCTTGACTTGGACCTTCAACGAGACCCATCCAATGCAATTAGTGCAATGTTGTGTCGTCATAATACGCGGTAACTTTTCACAATACAAAAACATTCAGATCCATTATATAACATAATATACCGCGTTTGCAGAGTTTGAACACAAAATGGACGACTTAGCAAATATTCGCGATTATTCTAACAGGCTACATGAATTCCACTGTATGACTTTCAGGGTTTTTTGTTTCGACATATAAGCAAAAGTGCAGTCCATGTTATGATTTATAATGTCACTGCATTAGGTGGAGACCTTCTCACACCTGTCAAGTGACTACATTGAGATGTTCGATTACTTTTATAAGCCGTGTACAAATCAAAATTTCGAATAACACTGACATCGAAAATAAACACTAATATCTTGGAAGGTTGTAATATCTACAGATGTTAAGAACGCCAACGTAGTTTGTACAGTTTTGTGCTAATCATCTTCACATACGACCCCGTTACTTTGAAGTACCGTAAAAGCAGAACTAAACAAGCATCGGCTACAAAAGATAATGTGAAACTCTAAAATTGCCCATGGGAAGCGTGTTCTTAATTAGGCACTTACTTATAAATTAGTCAATTACAAAGCCGCTATCTCCCTTGTACCAGTTTGTGTTACTGACGACTTGTGGCTTGTTTATTGTTTGTAAAATAATACTTCTTTCAAAGTCTGTTAATAGTGCTAGTAACAAACTGGAAAGAGTTTTCAATTTTGTCGACGATATTTATGCGTCTTAACGTTTACAAACTTAATCAGAGTGGTATTGAGATATGAAATTCTTCCTACCATTCAATAATATAGTCGGCTGTAACTTAAATAGTTACAATTTGCAAATTTACCAAACAGTGGGGATATAAAAACAACCATCGCCCCGCTATCGATAATGATCCCTCCTGGCTGAACCTTTGTTCGCCCACCTGTCCTGGTGAAACTGGAAAGGCCTTCGAACCACCAGTAAAACTATCGATAATGACCTTCCGAGGCGAACCATGTTCACTTTACTTTAGTGTGGATAGTAATATGTATCTTGATCATTGCTGATCCATAAAGATGAGATATGGATGTATCAATTTTATTTAACTTCCTAAAATCACGGCCTTAACATTTACTTAATGTTGTAATGTCCACGGATAGAACAACCTGATGTGCAGTTATCCACCTTCGAACAACAGAAGTCTTAATTTACTTGGCTCAACGCAGTCCTTCTCATTTTGATGAGAGCAAAGAGATGAGAAAACAGAGAAAACAGAGCGCATGATTACTTTACGGCCCTAATGCTGCAACTATTACTACTATTTATCTCAATGAACAAACGAATTATAATCAAGTGAAAGTTGAGAATCGATCATCATCGTGTCAAGGGAGTGATCACACCCACAGACCTGTATTGTGAACATCGTACACAATACTTGTCGTTGTTTTTGTCAAGTCAATCTCAGGGTTATAAGCTATTGTACTATAATCTTATAGAAATTGACGTATTCTGCTGATGGTATTAGCAAATCTACAGTACACGAAGAGATTTAAGAGGCATTAGCCGAATATGAATTAATTAAGATTTATATAAGATTGAAATTTTTGATTTTACATAACATTTTAAATATATATACACATATATCATAAAATATAAATTTAGTTGCAATACATAAGTAGCGGAGGAAAAAGTAAATGTAAACTGTCACCATCAACAGTTAAAGAAAAATAAGTGAGATATGCAACCTCATTTCTCAATATTAAAATTTGTTCATTTCAAAATTCTTTACGGTCACATTACGTTAAATGTATTTCTTTATTTAACTGTACGTTTGACCCATTTTGTTAAAATTAATGATTACAAAGTCTCAAAACCGATGGAATCTAGTTTTCCGCTTAAAATTTTCTTCAAGTCACAAGCAATAGTTCACTGTCAGTCACTTAAACTTTCTGTGAGTGACATATCTAGATTAACTATGACTTCAGAATGACTACGAATATATCACAGATAATAATTATTCACAATATTCTCTTAATATTATATTCCGATTGCGCTGAACTTATTTTAAGTGAAATAGATGTTTTTTCTGATTGTGTCACTACTTACAGGAAAAATCTGTTGCGGATCATCTCCCAATTAAATTAATCTTAAGCAATGAATGAAATGTATTCAAATCTTAGCTGTATATTTTTTTTATTTTTGATGTTAATGCACTGTCGATTGCACCTATAATTGAGGTGACATCTGCCATGAACTTTTGTCAATTTGTCAATGTTTTGTATTGATGATCACTTTGTTGGTGCAACTTAATAAATAAATAAATAAATATTTATTCACACCTTACTTTATTTACAAATATGTCATTTATTAATTTATCATAACAAAAAAATACACCAAAAAATTCGCGTGTCTCAGTTGTTTCTGATTGTACAATCAGATAATGTATGGTGAACGGAAAAGGTCTTGAAGTGCAACCGTACAATGAATCATGCAATTGCATGTGTATGTACATTGTACAACAATTGTCTGTGCTCGACCCGTCTCGATAATGACGTCCATAGCTTGATGTTGAACCTCGAAGATTGCAACATACATGATGTAACTTGTACGGGTAATAGTTTACACATATTTTTATCTGAACATCAAAATCGGACGTTCGGAGTAAGGTACTGTGTGTAAAAACACTCCTTTATTTTTTAAGAAAACTCGATTTGTAGTTTCAAAGCCTAATTTTTGGATCCCTTATTGAATGAAAATCTAATTTTAAGTTCGGTCGTAGAGAAATAGCTGGGGATAAATTGTGCCTTTATTCTATTAAAACGTGTGTAAACATCAAATAGCTGGGGATAAATTGTGCCTTTATTCTATTAAAACATATGTAACGCTTCCAAGGAAACTGGCGTACCCCACGCTCAAAATAAAATTAATAAAAATGTCTTTATATATTACTGCACTGTAAAATTATACAATTTATTGTCCGATGCATTAAATTTCCTTTGTACACCTAGAGAGATTGCCTGCCTTTTTATAGAGCTTATAATCCTTGACTATTCTACCATAAAATATAGTTTCAAACCACATCAGTTGTTAGCATTTTATTTCAGATGTTTTGCTTTTGAAAACAAATATATTACTGATACATCTGATTACTGATGGTCGAACCTGGTGTTAAGTGGTTACTGGAACCACAGACGTCAAGAACGTATGTAAATGATGACACTGACCTTTGATATATTGGTTCTAAGTCTCGATTATTAGAGTACAATGGCTATCGTCCCGTCAAAACCGTCAAACCGAAACGCATTACTGCTTCTCGGCAGAAAATAGGTTGGATGATGATACCTACCCGTCTGGGTTCTAAAGACGCTCTATCACCATTATTATTAATATTCGCTTGACTTTGACTGGTGGTAGAACCTCTTGTGAGCTTCCCCGGGTAAGTACCACCAACCCGCTTATTTCTGCAGTGAAGAAGTAATGCGTTCCGGTTTGCAGGGTGGGGCAACCATTGTACTATAAATCTGAGATTTACGGCTCAAAGTGGATAGCAGCATTTACGTTGTTGATGTTCATGGACTCCGGTAACCAGCTATCACCAAGTAGGCCGTGAGCTCGTCCACCTATCTAAGCAGTAAAAAATAAAATTAAAACACTTTTTTATTATTCTCCTTTTAATTGTATGTTAACACTTAAAGCAAGCAACAAATATTTTCTTTTCTTGTAATAATATAAAAATCTTTCAAAATTTGTCTTAGCTACAAATAACGGACACATTGGAATGCAGAGTTATAAGAAAGTTAAAGGCTATCAATTTATAACAGCCAAGAATGACTTACCGTTATTTAGGGCTAGTCAATGTTGGATTCATGCAAGCACTTACCTATAGACGACCGCATTGCGTAGGTGTCGAAATGATTAAACAAACCAGTGATTAAACAAAAACATACTTTTGATTTATTTTCAGTAGCTTGAATAGACGTGTCGAGTTTAGGTAAGAAAGAGGTTACCATCGGTCATGGACATTGGCAATGGCGTCGATCTTAATGTTAAGAGATGTATACAATTCAATACGGAGTATTTTTATTTTATATCTATCGATGGATTTCATCATGAATTCGAATAATTAAAACACAGTAAATCGGTTTCGAACAATTTGAAATGTGATTATAAATATTGACATAATCTAAAGAAAAAAAAAAATGAAAGATATTGGTTAAAATGTTCATGCAGAAAAAAAAAGTTCGTCATGATCATTATGTCATAAACGTCCACTATTGTCCATATATAGGCCTGCGACAAAGTTTGCCATAATGACCAGACCTGCGTAGTCTGAACCAAATGGATTCTCGGGATCTTTAGCAGACGGTCCACCTCGGGGGGCATACCCACGGTGCGGTTCCCTGTGCGCAGTCGCCACTAGAATTTTTCGGTCCCAGCGGCTACGATTGACTTCCACGCTAACATCGTGTAATAAAAATCAAACCGGCAAAATTATAATTTGCGTAATTAAAGGTGGTAGGACCTCTTGTGAGTCCGCGCGGGTAGGTACCACCACCCTGCCTATTTCTGCCGTGAAGCAGTAATGGGTTTCAGTTTGAAGGGTGGGGAAGCCGTTGTAACTATACTTGAGATCTTCAAACTTAGATCTCAAGTTGGGTGGCGCATTTACATTGTAGATGTGTATGTGCTCCAGTAACCACTTAACACCAGGTGGGCTGTGAGCTCGTGGGTGGACGTATAAGCAACAAAAAAACCTATTCTTCAAGTAATGTGCCTTCGAACTAAAATGTTATAAAGCTGTATGTAAGCTGCTAAATGTGTAAATCTAAGTGTAAATCTAGAACTAACCAGAGCTAAATCCTAATTAAAATAAACTTAAGAATTTTTGTACGGAATTTTTGTTTCTGCTATTAGACGTCTTTTAAGAAGGCCGTAACACTCTTGATAATATTACCTCAAAATAAACAATAAGCATTATTATT